TCTTTTCCTTCGCCTGAAAAGGTGTCGGGAATACCATGTTGGTTGAGGCCGGGTGATGGGAGCTTAGCACAACACAGGTTTAGGGTTTAGGGTTTAAGTAGGGTTTAGGGTTTAGGGTTTAGGGAGCTCATGTAACCCTAACCCCCCAGGTACCTACTGTATAGGGCCCTAGGGGCTCTAGTACCCTATATAGTAGGTACCTGGGGGGTTAGGGTAAGGCCCTGAATAATTAGAGTTTAGTTTTGGCCTCTTTTATAGTACGTAATTAGATAAGGAACTCAAAAGAACAAAATTGACAATCATTTTTGCCCGTTAGGCTTATAAAATGCCTCGTGGCTTTGGCCTGTGCACTTCGAAAGTGATGGGAAGGGCTTGGAAATCCTAGTCCAGACACACCCGAAAACACCAAAACCGATTGAACCCCTGCAAACTCCTTATAAAGCATTGTCCGCACCCTTATTGAACCCGGATAAAGTTATAACACCCTTAACAGAAACAGAAAAAGAAGCGTACAAACTCTCGTAAACCCTGTATACCGCAAAAAAATATCACATATCTATATATATATATATAAATATATATATATATATATATATGTGTGTGTGTGTATATAACAGATGTACAAGCCTTATGTACAACCCTTCTCTACAGACGCCAAAAACACCGTCAACCTAAGAAAGCCCCTAAAAACCCTGAGAAAACCTCTGCTTCTCTTCTGCGCCCACCTCGCAAAGAGCCTTTGCCGATGTCGAATCAAGAAGTTGGCAAGACAAGGCCTGCTTTTGAGGGTTTCGGGTTTAGGGTTTGAGGTTTTGGGTTTTGGGGTTTAGGGTTTAGGGTTTAGGGTTTAGGATCCTCGACGAGGCCTGCTTCACAGGTTGGGGTTAGGGTTTTGGGTTAAACGCTACGCTTGTGGTTTAGACTTTTGAGGCGTATAGGGTTTTTATAAGGTTTAGAGGTCTGCTTAGTATGATATGTTCCTTCGCGAAAAGGGGGGTTGGGGATGTTGGGTCTTAGGGTTTACGACCTCAAGGCTTTACGGCCTCATGGGCTTTGAGGTGTATTAGGACTTAGGCTTGAGATCGATGCACCCCCACCCTAAACCCTAAACCCTAAACCCTTGTAACCAAACCCTGAGCTCTAAACCCTGAGCCCGAAACTCTACTCCCCAAACCACAAGAACTCTCTGACATTCTCCCTTGGGAAGAAACGGGGCAGCTTCACCACAAGCCCACTGCCCCAACAAGACCTGGACTTGAGGAGCGTGCTTCAAGGCCTGGTCGAGATCTGCCAAAAGGGGCCCTGAAGTAACGGATAACTCTTCAAAGCTTTGAAGACAAGGATCATAGAAATCCGATATGCTTTCCGGGTATGCTATAGAACCCCTTAAAGAACCCTTAAACCATACATCCTCTTATAGGAACCCGTCAAGCTCCCTTAAAGGGAATTCTAAAAAAGAACCCGGTAAAGGCACCCTCTCCTAATTGCCAAAGGCCCTACCTAAACCCTGAACCCCAAACCCTAAACCCTAAACCCTGAACCCTAAACCCTGAACCCTGAACCCTAAACCCTAAACCCTAAACCCCAAAGGCCCTTTCGGGGGCGGCCCTCAGTCAGACCCTCGTCCCGGCTCGGCCTTCTCAGTCGCTGCCTCCACCTAAAGTTGGTTTCAGGGCTTTGGGGCTTTGGCGTTTTGGGCTTTGGGGGTTTAGGGTTTAGGGTTTTGGGCTTTGGGTTTTGGGGTTTTGGGTTAAGGGGTTTAGGGTTTAGGGTTTATAGCGGTTTAGGGTTTAGGGTTGTAGGGTGTAGTTGGAGCGTACAGCGTTGGGGTCCAGCCTTTGAGTTTATGATGCTCCTGGGCTTACTCTAGGGCTCTATGTCTATGTCTATATCATATCTAGATGTATACCTATGTGACCTATGTGTGTATATTTTTCTCTCTATCTATCTATCTATCTGTCTATCTATCTATCTATCTATCTATCTATCTGTCTATCTAACTATATGTAGATATCTATCTCTATACTTGTATCTTTATCTATATCTATGCCTGTATATGTTGCTTGCTAAGTCGGTAGTTTCTTGGCTCTGGCTTAAGGGTGTCATAGTATATAACACATGCGTTGAAGACTCACTCCACCATGAGTTACAGCTCGCATAGCATGCACATGTCACTCCCTACAAGGGCCACAGCCACAGCGTGTTACGTGCTACGCCCATCGCCAGTTCATGGTAGTCCCAACAGCCGACTGTAGCTCCATCACAACAGCAACAGCGCACATAGATGCCTGGCGGGGCTGCCTTCTACAATGCCACTGCTGCGAGCCTTGCTCTCTTCACTGTCTCTGCGTCTCTTTTCTTCCGAAGCTTCGCACTGCGGACAGTGTGGAAGCACTTGTCAAGGGCCAGAGAAACGCCAGAGAAACTTACTTGCTATTGGGCTGGATTAGTTTCAAAATCAGCTGAGAGTTTGAGGCCAGCGGTTTGGCTTTGACTGATTTTCCTGGCCCCTATTGCATGGAGCCCTCCCCACTATGTCCCCAAAAGGTCCCTGAGGTAGAGAGATCACCACCCTGTGCTCAAAGGATCATGGGACTTAGTAACTAAGGTTATTATTAGGATAACTATACTTACTTATAACTACTTATAACCCCAATTAAGGTACATATAACCATACTTACTAAGTCCCATGATCCTCCAAGTGAACAATGGCATCACAATGAAGCTAACTTGGATCGGCCTTTCTGGCCAGTACTTCAAGCTTTCGATGGTGCTCCCTCTGCGCGGCAGGATCCTACGTTCGACGTCTATCCCCGCAAAGGTGAAACATGAGGCTGAAGGCCGAGATTTCGGGTTCAGGGTTTAGGGGCTTTGGGGGTTTAGGGTTTAGGGTTTAGGGGTTTAGGGGTTAGGGGTTTCGGGTTTAGGGTTTAGGGTTAAGTTTAGGGCTTTTGGGGAAAATCGCTAAAAGGACTTGGGGCGGAACCCTTCGTACACGCGTGGGCTGACCCCCCAAAGTACTTCCAGCCCTCACTTCTCGGGCCACATCGCGAGCCTCCTGGAGTACACCAGAATGCACTATGATGGACCCCAAGAGACACAGATCACAGCGGCCTTCGCCAAACTACCTACCCTCATTCAGCCCGCAGCCTCTTCCACTGCACTCTGTCATTGTCTTGTTCTTGCGATCCCACAGCATAGATACACCGCAACCAGTCAAAGCTGACCAACACCAGGGGTTCACCCTTCGCAAGACAAGAGATGGCTGTACATTGGTGCCCTCATCCCCGTGTCAGGCCGCACACTTCTGACCACTCATCAATATAGCAACATGTACAACCACACCTAGTTCGGCTGCTGGGGTGAGCGCACTCTGCTACGCGCATATCAGCACTAAGTCGGGTAAGTAGGGTAGGGCGTGGAGTCGGATGCTCTACATCACTACACTACTGCGGGCCTTGCTCTCTTCCCTGTCACTGCGGTTCGTCAGAAACTGTGCAGGCTCAGAATGGTCTCGGCTGCGTGGCGGTCCGCAGCTTCAGTGGTGCACAAGCGCAACTTGCGGCTGAAGCCCCAGCCACTGTGGTGCGAGGCCTGCACCTCGTCGCACATCATGGCATAGCTTCGAACTTGACTTGCATCGCGATTCGGTTGCATGCGGAGCTCTTTGATTCCCACCAGAAGCTTCAGCTCAGCCGTCCTGCCCGTGCACAGCAAGCGGTGAAGATCTCGCATCCCATCCTTCTCCCCTTCTCCCCCCCAGAGCAGCTCCGCCAGAAGGCCACCCAAGGTGGGCACTTCCTGCTGTGCGCGGAAGAGCTCGGGCTCTGTGACCTCCTGAGCCTTGGGCCCGTTGGCCGGGGAAACTGGGGTGGAGAGGCTCTCCTGAAGACGGATCTTCTTCTTCGGCGTTTCGAGGACGGCTTGCCGGTCTGCGTCCTCGCTGTCGCCAGACTGCAAGTCCAACCTTCGAGACATCGCTTGAAAGCCTCACGTGCTCACAACTTGAGCCACATGGCTAGGGTCTCTATGGTTTCCGGCTTTCTCTTCAAAGGGCACGGAGAATCGGATGCTCGATCGGCTTTGGCTTTGAGAAACAAGGATCCTCTGAGCCCTGGAGGACTAAACTCTCGAGAAGGCCAAGCTCCTGGCATCGAAGGGCATGCGCCCAAAACGGCACGAAACCTCAGAATACTCTGGGTGAGGGTCCCAGAGACTCCAATATCCCTTAATTAAGGAAAATATTTTAAATTATAGCAGGATCCCTAATATGATCTATGTCTGGTGCTTTGTAGGGAAGGGGGGAATGATCCCTATGATAGTCCCTTAAGGTCCCTTAAGGTAGTCCCTATAACCCATTCCCCCATTCCCTACTAAGCACCAGACAATACTGCACGGATGACTTTGGCCACAGGCACGGGGCGAGTTAATTCCAACGGAGACGAGGAGGCACGTGACGACAACATGTCCTTCTCTCGTAAGCCCAAAGCTCTTTGGCCATGTGCCAGCCGATGCCAGAGACTGGGAAAGCATCACCGGAAATGGCACGAGGTTTAGGGTTTAGGGTTTAGGGTTTAGAGTAGTGCTAGGGAACTTGGCTGAGGGTGAGGGGTGGTGACTATGGCTTGGTATGCTGGAGCCCTAGCCACCATCGGGAGAGCAATGAATCTCAAGAACCGAGAGTCCTTGCAGTACCCTAAACCCTAATCCTTAAACCCCAAACCCTAAATCCTAAACCCTAAACCTTAAATTCCTAAACCTTAAACCCTAAAACCCTGAAACCTAAATCCAAGGAGGGATTGGGTCTGTGCTCTTCTGGCATTCACCTCAGCTGCTTGAAGCTAAATGTCGAAGCGGCGACACGGCTGAAGGTCTAAAGGCCCCAAGACGCATGTTGGGGTCATCTTGGGATCCTATTACACCCGGTTTAGGGTTTAGGGTTTAGGGTTTAGGGTTTAGGGTTTAGGGTTTATCTGATCTTATGTTATGTAGTACTGCAGTTTCTTATACTGTGGGTCAGGTTGCTGGTGGGAGTCGCAGACTGAACTGAACGGCGCAGACACATCGCAGCAACCACAGAGCCAGTAAGTGCCCGTTGCAAGAAGGCATCATATTCCTTTCATTCTAGGGGGTATCTTCTTAGGATAGTAGGAGCCTGCCTTGATGCAGGTGTCGGCACAAATGGTAATGGCATGCCCCCCTTTTGGTCCCTAGATCGTTCCAGAACAAATTACCCCAATTCTTACCATGAGCTTCTTAAGGCCCCTTTTGTAAGAAAAGGATACCCTAAACCCTAAACCCTAAACCGAAAACCCTAAACCCTAAACCCTAAACCCTAAACCCTAAACCCTAAACCCTAAACCCTAAACCGAAAACAATTAATCAAAGCTTTTTCAAGAACCCCTCGGCCCTTCGCTCAGTCCAGACCTGGTGGGTGAGACTTCTCTCTCTTGGCGGGGGCTTCTTCGCCCTTCCTTCGAGGGGCCCGCGAGTCCTTGGTCCTGAGCCTTCCTGCAACCATCTCCCCCGGCTCGAATGCGGAACTTATGGTGTCTACGTATGCATACAGTCACGCGTATGTGACATGTATAGCACATACACGGACACACGCACGCGCACACACACACACATTCATATATATATATATATATATATACATATAAATATAGATATATACATGTACACATACATCTGTGTTGTTATGTATGTACGCGGTGTGTGCGTATATATATATATATATGTACGCATCTGCGCCTGTGGCGGACTTTCGGGTTACGACGAAGTCCAACAGAGCTATGATAGCTGGCATAGTGGGACCAACCAAGTGATGCCTTCGAGATGGATCAACACCCGAATCCCGTTCTGCTACCCAACCCTGACATCAAGGCTCTGACCGTCGCCTGGGCATGAGGACCTTACCAACCAGGAGGCCGGAGCAGTGCGGGACGGGCCTGTCAGACTTGGCTGTCAATGGATGGCCCGAACTCGACACCCCTCCAGCCTCCCGCAAGCGAAGGGGAACCTAGGGGAGGGAGTTTCCTCCCCTCCCTTAAGCCCCCTTTTGAGCTTCCGAACGATGGAAACCTTTTTGAGAGTCCACGTCTTCTTTGGCTACCCTTTGGGCGATCCGGGCCGGGTCCAAACTTCTCGAAGTCTTTGCGTCAGAGTCTGGCGCTACGCTCTGCTTAAGTCCTAGCAACTCTGAGAAGCACAAGATCGTAACGACCCATGATTTCATTGGGTTCCCTGAGTGTAGAATCTTTGAACTGATGCATGCTGTTGCTCGTTAAGACCAACTCTTAAGTAGCAGCATGTCGAAGTCGACAGAGGGAGGGCTTTGGCATCCAACATTAATGGGGCCTTAAGAATCACAATGTGGTTTTAAGGGTATACTATACTAGCAGCTAGTAGGAAGGAGCCACATGGAAGAATATTTCAGGGTGCTACAGTACTCTGCCAGTGATGAAACTCTTTCGTGCATAACGCGCTCGGCACAACTGTGCTTGCTTCTGCCACGGATCGTCCCATGACAACATGGAAAAACGACACGCTGAGTCTCCGTAAACATGAATGCGATGGATCGTCAACAGCCGGACGCTCGACCTTTCCCATCGAAGACTGAAACTCGGAGTCTTTTAGAGATTAGGGCGGAGCGTCCGACTCGTAAGAGCTTGTTCAGTGCCTTCTTCGATCACGTATGAGTAGTTATCTACATTAAGGTCCTTTTAGGGTCCTGTTTATGCGGGTGCCGTACTATTTGGGGGACCCTAACAAGGGACCCTGATTTAAAGAACTACCCATATCCCAGTGCTAGAACACGATAAGAGCCCGCCAACTTCCCAATACCGACCTTGGGAATTACGGTTTGGTGAAGACAAACACGTGTCGCCCCAGGCACCCGTGCTCAGAATATCTGTCAGGAATGCCATGGCAGTCTATGAAGATGTGACGCTAGAGCCAGGTTTAGGGTCCAGGGTTTAGGGTTTAGAGCCATCACTGAATTACTGTTCTGTAACAAAACTAACTGCACTGATAGTCTTGTCTAGGAGAACTCTCTCTGTTGGTCCTCACAGCCATATCCAACAGGGCACGTAGTTAGTGAAAACGGAAGCTTGAAGAAAAGAGAAGCATACTTCTCTAAATCAGGGTCCCTTTTCAGGTACTTGGTATAAGGGTGCCGCCTTCTTTTGGGGACCTAAAAAGGTGCCCTAAATTAGACAACTACCCACAAGGGAAGGAGCCTCATCACGCACTCCAAGTCCCTGACTTGCGAAAACAACCCAGGTAGGATGTGGGTTTAGGGTTTAGGG